ATCAGCTTGCATTGTTGAAGGCAGAGAACCAAAGCCTTCGAGCAGCAAATGAGGCGCTAAGCAAACGCCGGAGGATAAAAAAAAAACGGCTACGGCAAGGAGGATCGCTTACTGTGCAGGATGGACAGGATTTGCAAGCCCAGAGAGATGTTGAGGTGCAGATACGGGCGGAAACACAGGCGGGCAGTGGTCGGAAGCCGAAAATCGAGACGCGCACGCGGCGTTGTGGCAGATGCGGCGAGCCTGGCCATAATGCACGCACCTGTCAAGGAGTTGCAAAAGTGCCCGAGGAAGACCATTCCGAGTAATTTCAATCATTTTTGTCAGTGTAGGTTGAATCATGTTGAAATTTGTTGTGCAGATGTGTTTTTGTGGGACGATCGCTTGTCTGGGACGTTCGCTTATCATGTACGTTATTTCCCACGCCGATATGCCCGCAGGCGTGACGGTCCCTCTACTGCTATGTATGAAGGAAACCGTATCGTAGGTTGCATAAAAATCTCTGTCCTCTGCTTCGTAGTCACTATATAGAATCCAACTTGCTATAAAAGAAAGCAGGCTCTTTGCGAGCCTCCGGTTCTCTTTAGCCCTCTGCTGTTTCTAGCTCTAGCCTCTTGCTAGGCTATATTCAAGCAGCTAGCCAGAGTCTATTAGCGCAGCTAAGAATCTCTGAATAAGCCTAGTACTCTAGGCACCTACGCTATATAATACAGGCTGTAAATTCTAATGTGACCGAATTTCTCATTGCTCCTACAGCCTCTATAGCAGTAGGTCAGAGCACTACACCACTAAGTGCTTACTATTTCCCTGCCTTCGCCATACTCACAGTAGGAGGTATGGGCTTCTGGGACTTTAACCTTAAATAGATAGTCTAATAGGCCTATATCTCCTATATAAGCCTGGAAAAAAAGAGTACTCTAGGCCTTTATAAGACTCTCATGCTTCCTTAAGGCTTTATTAGTAAAGAGAATGGTTAGAGGGTCTGTCACGGGCAATGCACGTGCCGGGGTTAGGGTTGCATCCCATGTAGATTAGATAAGCAAGCTCACTGGAGTGGGTCTTGCGTTGCCACCCTCTTGGTTAGTGCGCAGCCCCACCTTGCCTCGCAGGGTTTTCCCACGATTGCGCACAGCCCACAGAGTTCTGGTTCCTTGTGCGATCTTAGCAATACTACCAGATCACCTAGTATTGCCTGTCACCACCCGTGATAGGGTCTTCATTTGCTATTCTCCTGTTATTAGCCCCTTATGGGCCAGCTCTCTATTGCTTTCACCGGTCCTGCTAAGCTAGTTTCACCACTTCGTTAATTATAACGAATCTCGAAGCCTCAAGTTCTGAAAGGGACTCCTGAAGGTTTAACTTGTCAACGGGGTGAGGTTCGGTAAAGCCAAAGGGTTTACAATAAGTGCACAAGCCAAATGTCTGAATAGTAGGTGTAGCTAACTGCTTATATGTCCCACAATATAATCATCTTCTTGCTTGCTGCTCGTTGAGGATTCGGTGCATCTTCCTTGGTGAGCCTATGTGTGTCACCTTACAATATATTCGTTACTGGAGGACTCTTAGAGCCCTCTAGAACGAATGACTATATACTAGTAGAGTTTTCATGATCGTTTCTAATCGCAGTCTACTGAGAGCTATCTTCGGTCGCCTTAGGTAGCCAGCTACCTAAGTCTACCTTTGGTCGCCCGGCCCCCACGGCTACTGTGTGAGCCTCGTGCAGGTGTCTGCAGTTTCCTTGAGAGAATGATTGGCTCTAGTGTTCTGTCTTATGCCCTACCGGGCTTATACATATAGTTAGTTCGTACATTGATGCCTAATGCGACGGCGCCTGCTGTTAGAATGCAGGTGGCGTCATCTGCTACTGAGTGTACATGCCCTACCTGCCCAGGCATTTAACCTCTACATCGCAATAGCTCTTTCAACTTTCTTATTATTTCTCCTTATCTAGCGATTAGCAAAATAGAGTTAGCAATTACAGTGCCTATATGCCTCACCTCAATGCTACTCGTCTCTTACACTACTAAAAGAAGTTATTAGTAACCAGGGACCGTAGTTTCAAGCTGATTTTACCTACGAACTATCCTAGATCCTACGAATTAAATAGAAACTAGCTATGGCAGGACACTTCTATACCGTAGGATAGGTTAAGAACCTTAACTAGTATATTAACCAGCGGTTTTAGCCGTTTATCAACCACTTCTAAGAAAACTAATCTTATATAATTCTTGTATGGGTGGGCGCAACTGACTACTGCGTAATACCCTCAAAAAATGAACCGTGATTCGAACTGTCTAGTCGAACCAGGAGTTGCGCAACATGAACCTCACACTGTCATGACCCCGTGACACTACTTCCCCTCCAGGCGCCGCACCGCCTCGCAAGGTCAAGACGCGTCGCGCTCCGCGCTCGGGTTATAGCTCTGCCTCGAAGTGTGCCATGTTCTCCCCCGAAAAGCCTCTCTGCGCCCACCCGTGACAGTCTAGCTAGATTGGAGGCAAGATTGGAAGGCCTACCGGGAAGCTATCGAACGAAAGCTGAAAACACAAGACTTTGCACTATCTAGAATAGCTGCTAAGACCTGGGGCCCAGCGCTAGCCAAGGTAAGGGAGGTCTATACCAAGTGCATCCGTAGTGCCCTAGCCTACGGAGCTTCAAGCTTCCACCGGCCTACTGTTGGAAAGCCAACAGCCACGATTCCACGGTGATCACACAGATGATGGGAGCTTACAACAGTGGGTTTGAGATACTCGGAGCATCCCGGATGTTCTTGATTGAAGGTTGTTCCTCCCTCACGTCTCCAGCGAAGGGGGAATCGCCCTGACCTCGTTGCCCAGCACCCTGGTTACCCCTCACTTTGCCTGACGCTCAGTTGGGCAGCCATGCATCCAACAGCAGGGCACTTGCAGCTGAGCGTCCGAAGTTCCAGTGCCACGACTTTCCAACACCTACCCCCATTGGAGGTTAGCCATAGGGCATTGCAAAAGACCTCCAGAAAGCTCAGAACAGGAGCCTACGGATAGTGGCCGGGGCCTATAAGGCCACCCTAACCCGACACCACGAGGCTGAAACGTGGGTTCCTCTACTTGACCTCCATTTTAACAAGAGACTAGCCGACTTCGAAGACAGGCTCCAGAAGCCTACCCTCCCAACTCCTCAGCCTTCTCAGCTGACAACAAAGCCTGCAACTGGGGCTCGTGCCGAGGCAGTACGCGGTTGCAGTGGCCTTGATATAGCTCTGAAATCTGTCAGGGGGCGTCTGGCCGTAGATGCAGTCGTGATACTGGCAGTCGCCCGGGATGGCGTCGAAGAAGGCCGACTGGCAGGTAGGGTCGTTGGCACAGTATGCGACGCATTCTTCGTACTTTTTGAAACGGGATATGCGGCAGCTGTTGTGCTGAGGCCCTCGGGCTGAAGGTGAGATTCCGCCCGGTCGCAAGTGAGGTGGGGTTCGACCCCTACGATAAGGGCGACGCGCTCCCCATCGTCGGCCTCAGTCTGAGACAGAAGATGTGGGACAGGTGCGAAGAATACGTTGAGGACGCGTTTGACTATTAGGCCGGACGGAGCGAGGACAACAAGTGAAAGCGCTGTTGGGCCGACGGGGAGGAGGATTCGGAGGAAACGGAAGGGTGGTATGTCGACTTTCTCGGTGTCCACTGACTGAACGATTGGGGCCATGAGAAACCCAATGTGGCGTGGATTTCTGTAAGTTATTCCAGTTTCCCCGGGTGGTGGAGCATCAGGAGACTGACGCCTTTATCCCAATAGTACGGCAACGAGGCCGCAAACGTTGTGACCTATTCTTGTGTCGCGATGATTGTGGAGATCCCTCCCAGAGTTGGCCAGGAGGTTGGGGTGGCCGGGGTCGAGTGAGCTCCAGACGATGGACGGAAAGATACAGCTCCGGCGATGTTCACTGCGTGCAGTAAGCACTGACATACACAACTTCACATTTCCGTACCCAGGTGTGACTGAGCTAGGTTGTGACCACCTGACACTTTGAGGCCAGTCATCATATGGGGAAGGGGACTTGGTGGCCTGGCTTGATAAGCGCCTTCAATATTGAGAGGTGATCAGAGAGGATGATTGACGAGTTGTTAAGCTTGTTGGAGTAGGTCGTGAGCTGTGCTTTGAAAGTTGCGACTGTTCTTTGGGGGATGACGACGAAAATGAAACGTACCGGTTGGGTTGTCCAACTTGAAGCAACATGGAACACCGGGTATTTGCCTGGTACTATTTCGCTTCGGAGCAAGGGCATCTCCTGGCCAGAGCCGAGGCAATCCTGAACACTAACTGCGTTACAGCAAGCCCTCCTAAGTATAGGTAGTGCAAGGGAGGCTGGCTGATTATCTCGTGCCCTCACTTCCAGGCAGGATTGCCTCCGCTCAGAGTGATCATCCAATCCAACCCTGGCTTTATTGTTAAGCTTGGCGCGGGGCGGGCCTTGCGTTAAGATAGAACAAATGGAATGTACGGAAGAAAGTAAGAAAATATGGTGAAAGGAGAAGGAAAAGAAGAACAATAGATAACGTGGTCCACCATCGAGCGGGACACCCCATCGACCGGGACACTTTTTCCTTCCCTATAATCACCCAACTTCAAGACGCGTTTTCTCTACCACAACAATGTCCGAGAGCTTCCCAGAAAACCGAGTTCTTCTCGCGATCAATGCGATTCGATCAACACCGAGGTTGAGTATCCGACGCGCTGCAGAGATATACAACATCCCCAAGTCGACAATTGCTGCGAGATTGAAGGGCCGGGCTGCAAAGTCCGACAGCTGCAACGGCCGTTCGAATTTGACGAAGATCGAAGAGGAGGTGATTATCCAGTATATACTCGACCTAGATTCGCGAGGGTTTTCGCCCCGGATTGTCGACGTTGGTGATATCGCCAATCTTCTGCTTCGGAAACGCGGTGCGCGACACGTCGGAAAGAACTGGCCAGACCGCTTCGTTGCACGACG